GTTAAAATTATCAAGATTTTAATAATACTCTTTTTTTTTTTAAAGGGTTTTGTTAAAGTTGTCAAGAATAAGGCCTACTTTAAGAGATACCAAGTGAAGTTTAGAAGAAGACGAGGTATGGAGAGATTTTTCTTTTTTCTTTTTTTTGTCTTTGAGACAGGGCGTCACTGTGCAGTTCAGGTTGGACTTGATCTCATATTGTAGCCCAGGCTGATCTTGAACTTGCAGTGATCCTCTTTCCTCAGCCTCCCAAGTGCTGGTATTACAGGTGTAGACCACCACATCCTGCTCAAGTATTCGTTTTCTAAGCGTTAAAACAATGCTGTTTATAATACAGCAACCCTTACTTTTTTTCTTTCTCTTTCAGAGGGCAAAACTGACTACTATGCTCGCGTTTTCTAAGCGTTAAAACAATGCTGTTTATAATACAGCAACCCTTACTTTTTTTCTTTCTCTTTCAGAGGGCAAAACTGACTACTATGCTCGGAAACGCTTGGTGATCCAAGACAAAAATAAGTACAACACACCTAAATACAGGATGATAGTTCGTGTAACTAACAGAGATATCATTTGTCAGGTAAGTTGTGTTCTACTCAGGCAGTGGGTAGTAATAAAAATCTAGTCCCCTTCACTCACTGTGCTAGAGAAGGTGTATTTGGGAAGCAAAGAACCTGATAAAATAGGTTAGGTGGGTTGTTGAGTGGTTCGTTTGCTTTTAGTAGGTCTAGACTTGAAGATTAGGTAACCAGTATTTTAAAACTGGAAGATCAGCTATATTTGGACAACTAGACCCATTTTTATCTTGCTTCTACTTTTTTTTTTTTTTTTCTCTGTCTTTTTGAGATAGGGTCTCATTATGCAGTTCAGGCTGGCTTTAAGCTCACTTTGTAACCCAGGCTAGTCTCAAACTCCCAATGATCTTTCTGTCTCAGCCTTCTGAGTGCTGAGATTACAGGCATGAGCCACCATACCTGGCATCACTTCCACTTTCTAATTTTAAGGATTTAAAGAGGCTTTTATGTACGTGAGTATGGTGGGGAAATAAACAAAGCAAGCAGAAGGTTCTTTCATCCCATTTTTCAGTACAAATTTGTCCTTGGCTAACTCCTGACTTTTGCCGTTTGACTTTACATGCCATTTAAGTTATTAAAGAGGTTTATAGCTGCTTATTGTTTGACACAGACTTTAATACAAAAAGTGCTATTTGAGCATTTAAAAAGTACCAGTTCATCAGGTTCTAGAACTAGGGGACATTTTTTTTTTTTCCTTTTTTTTCTTTTTATCGGTACCGGGGATCGAACTCACGACTGCCTGCTTGCAAGGCAGGTGCTTATGCCACTGAGCTAAATCCCCAGCCCCTTAGGGGACATTTTGATAGTTGAGATTTGCCAGTCTTTTGTAAGAGGCAGGCAAATCTGGGTTTTTGTTTTGTTTTGTGTTGTTTGGAGACAAATTTTATGTAATTTCGGCTGGCCTTGAACATATTATGTAGCCCAGGCTGGCCTTAAACTCACAGCACTCCGCCTGTGTCAGCCTCCTGAGTGCTGGGATTACCGGCGTGTGACACCACGCTGGGCTGGCAAATCCATTTTCTGCACGTTGTTCACTTCGAAGTCAGTGTCTTCATATCTACATTCAGGTACTAAACATGAGGTCTCTGAAACTGTTGAATTTAGCCTAAGTTCAAAAGTGTTTAAAATAAATGGGATTCCCTTTGAACTTTTTAAAAGTGTCTCACTAGTTTACTAGTTAATGCATCTGAGAACTGTTTCTGCCTCTAGAGTAAGGAACTAGAGTATAATTTTTCAAAGCATCTGTCTATTTGGAAATTTTGACATTGGTCATGTTTGAAAATACGTCCACCTTATATACAGCTCCTTAACTGTTACAGTTGACCAAGTCATAAATTGTAGTTGGAGATGAGTGGGTTTAAAACATTTTAAGTGATACAGATCTGTGTCTGTTGAGGGTTTTAAAAAAAATTTCCTTTGAAGAAAACAGGACAAATAATGAAACAGTGAAAGCAACAGATTACTAACCTGACTTTTCTTTTGCCTAGATTGCTTATGCCCGTATTGAAGGGGATATGATAGTCTGTGCAGCATATGCACATGAACTACCAAAGTATGGTGTGAAAGTTGGCCTAACAAATTATGCTGCAGCATACTGTACTGGCCTGCTGCTGGCCCGCAGGGTATGTATAAAGAGACTTTGCTATGTTAGCTTGTTGAGATGAGCTGGTTGTTTGGAATTGCCTTTGGGATGTTTGTATGTGGGTAAGAGACTCCAGTGGGGTTTCTAGCAATGTTTACTCTTGCATGGCTTAACAAGGAAGATGATTTTATAAATACAAAGTGTGAGATGGCAACACAGTTTTTAGTTATCTGGATGAAGCACTTGTCTTTCTACTTTGTCTCCTGCAGGTGGGTATATCTGGACCAGCTGTAGAAAAGAATTTTCTACAGTAGTGTTAGATATGGAATTTGTCTGGTGGGGTAGTCACTAATATCCTATTTTAAACACTAGAAATGTGGCTAATGCTATTGAACCGATTTTTTTTGGGGGGGAGGGGAGACAAGGTCTCTGTATGATTGAGGCTGGCCTTAAACTCATGTGGTACAGAATAGTCTGAAATTTACTATACTTCAGATTTGTGTGAATTTCAACTTAAATTTGAAAAGCCACTTGTGAGTAGTGGCTACTTAACTAGTGAGGATTGGCTAATCAAAGGTATAGCATACATTAAAAATGCAGATTTAGGGGCTGGGGATTTAGCTCAGCGGCATAAAGCGCCTGCCTTGCAAACAGGCGAGAGTTCAATCCCTGATACCGATAAAAAGGAAAAAGACAAAAAAAAAAAAATGCGGATTTAGCCGGGCGTGGTGGCTCATGCCTGTAATCCCAGCACTCTGGGAGGCTGGGAGTTGGAGACCAGCCTCAGCTACAAAGGGAGCTCAAGGCCAGCCTGAACTCCATAGAGAGACCCTGTCTCGAAAAGACAAAAAACAAAACAAAAACAAAAACAAAAAAAACTCTGACTTGCGGGGATTATACTCAAGGTATATTGAGAATTTGTATTTTGATAGGATGTAATTCGTGCACATTAAAATTTGAAAAGTACTATCTTAAATGCATGGGCATTGATGGAAAGTTTCATTTTTGGAGTTATATTAATGCAGGTTGGGAATGAAAACGCAATTTTGCTGTTTTTTTGTTATCTTAGTTACTGTTTTATAGTACAGTTGTCAAGCATATGCAATATGCATTAGTGTTCCATATCATTGACAATAAACATGTTTGAGTAAGGGGCAATATTATATATGACAGCAACTTGGTGCAAAAGTACAAGCTTGGTAAAACTGGCTAGATGACAGTGTGCCACTAGCAGTGATCCAAATTAAAATAACATTTGGAGAGTATGGTACAAATGATGTTTTCTTCTGCCCAGGAACCTGCCTTTAAAATTTTGTTCCAGATCATTATACAAACCATATGCAATTTTATATTTAATTGTTGGATCATTGCCAAATAAGATTGAAAAATGTGGAGATTATTTCTTTTGAGTAAATGTAAGGATCAAATTAAGTGTTACATAGTTGTGAAATGTTTTAATTTTAAAGTGGTTAAATAGGCATTAATATCTGCTTCTTTAATAGCTTCTCAATAGGTTTGGCATGGATAAGATCTATGAAGGCCAGGTGGAGGTGACTGGAGATGAATACAATGTGGAAAGCATTGATGGTAAACCTGGTGCCTTCACCTGCTATTTGGATGCAGGCCTTGCCAGAACTACAACTGGCAATAAAGTTTTTGGAGCTCTCAAGGGTGCTGTGGATGGAGGTTTGTCTATCCCTCACAGGTAATAGTATTTAAGACCTCGTACTTTGACCCCGTTGTTTTCCTTGATTCTACCTAGTGTAGAGATTACTTAAGAGTACTAAAATAGCTATCATTGGATACCCACTCTATGTTGGTACTATGCAAAAGGAACCTCACATGGCAGGAGGGAATTGTAACCCATAAAGAGACTTGGGGCTCAGAGGCAGTGGTTTGTCCAAGGTTTTGGAGCTAGTAAGTGGAAGACTGGGGTAGGAGCTATAATCTTTTGCATTTGATTTAATTTTGTTTAGAAATGAACAACTGTTCCTGCTCTGTGCATTTTCCTTTGATATATGGGTTAAAATGGGTCTAAAAGGCTTATGTAAGATTCCTAAACATTCAATTGAAAATAGAATTTCAGGCAATTCTTTTTTTTTTTTTTCTTTTTCTTTTTTTTTTGTCTTTTTCATTTTTACCAGTACCAGGGATCGAACTCACGACCGCCTGCTTACAAGGCAGGTGCTTATGCCACTGAGCTAAATCCCCAGCCCCTCAGGCAATTCTTGGTAGCTTCTTTGGTTTGAGTTGTTGAATAGAGGTATATTGACCCTCATCTTCAGATTGAACTGGGGGCCTTAGTACTGAACTACATCTTGGTCTTATTTTTTATTTTGAGACAGGTCCTTTTTTGCTAAGGTGCCTTTACTGACCTTAAACAGTGGTTCTCTTGCCTTAGATTCCCAGAGTGCTGGGGTTACAGGCATGGGCCACCATTTGGCTCATCTGCTGTGTGTTTTTGCATGTTTGTTACTGTTGTAAACAGTATGCAATTTTATATTTAATTGTAAATTCATCTCTGATTAGAAACAAGTTAATGAGATACAAAGTATCTCATTGGAGGATTTCCTTAATCTTGTAGAAATCATTTATTCCCCTTTCCTTTGAGGCCTAAGAAATTACAGGATTTGGGAGATAAGTTTTGAAACCCTTTCCTGTGCTAATACAGATAGTGATAAACAGCCTTGGTAATTGTTTTAAAGGTCTTTGTGGCAGGGTGCAGAGGTATCCACCTGTGTATGGAAGTCTTAAGGCAGGATGATTACACTTGAACCCCCAGGGGTTTGGAACCTTCGGAGGAAGGGTGTTGTATGTTTTTCTATTCTGGAATTCAGTGGTAAGCTGCCAAATGATGATAGTCTACAAACTGAGCAGTCAGTAGTTGGTCCTTTGATTGCATATGATATAATAATTGTTTCAAGACGGGACTGATGGCAGCTACTAAAATGCATTACTGTCAGTGAACTTATTTTAGTTAATCTGTACTAAACTATGAAAATAATTTATTTTAGTACCAAACGATTCCCTGGTTATGATTCGGAAAGTAAGGAGTTCAATGCAGAAGTACATCGGAAGCACATCATGGGTCAGAATGTTGCAGATTATATGCGTTACCTGATGGAAGAAGATGAAGATGCTTACAAGAAACAGTTCTCTCAGTACATAAAGAACAATGTAACTCCAGATATGGTAAATTTACCTAAAAATGCTTGTATATTCATTTTATATAAACAAGTTTGTTGGGTTACATTTGTTTCAGGCTAGCAGTTGAAAATTAAAGATGGTATGTTTTGTAGGTATGGTAGATTCACATAGTTGATCTTTTCTTAAATTGAGAATGTTGAATGAGGGTAGATTAAGCATTCAATTAGTATTAACTCTTGGGGATGCAGTATAAGCAATGAGCTAAAGTTATCAGGTTAATCTTTTAGATACTTAAGCGTGGCATGCTTTAAGTACTTAAGGCCTTTGATGCCTTTTAGGTTTTGGCTGTTCTGTATTTATAGATCTCATCCTGTAACCACGGGATTTGTAATTACTTTGATATAAAGGGTTAAGTACTAAGCACTTAATTTTGAGGAGGAAGAAAGTTCTTCATAGCAAATACGTGCTATATTCTGGACTACGAATACCCCAGGCGTAAATACAAAAAGGGAGCCTTACAGACTCTTGTGCATGACGTTGCACAAAAGGGGGAACCATGTTGCAAAAGTTAAATGTTGGAAATTTGTCAGCCCCAAAATTGAATTTCTCTGGCTACCTCTTTTAAAAGACATTGGACTAATTGAAGATTACAGTGCCAGTTTTGAAGTTGTAGTGAAAATGTAGAACCCAAATTAGATTATTACAACTGTAAAACTACACATAAGTTGTTTGTAATTGTTAGGTCTTTTCTGTTTAGAGCGTTTTAGTTTGTTTCTATTAAGAATAGCTGTTCTTGTAGACTGTTACTTTACCTGGCCTGCACAGTATCTCTTCCTAAGCCATAATCTTGATGTGTTATGTTGCAGTTGTTCAGAACATCCACTTCCAGCCTGTTTGCGCTTTCAGATACTCATTTGTTGATGGCTTCCTTGTTTTAGGGGCAGATTTGAGGAGCTAGGAATTGAACCCAGGCCCTTTTGCATGCTGTTCACATACTTTATCACTGAGCTACAGCCTCAGCCCCTTGCTCATTAATTTTGTCTGTGGTAGCCTCTTCCTCCTTTGTACCTGGTGAAATCCTCTGCAGACATCAAAACAGGATTATAGGTGGAAAAGAATCAGCCTTAAAAACTAGAGATCAGAGAAGCCACTGAGCAAGAGAACAGTAATGCCAGCTAAAGCAAATAGGCTGATTGGGGCTGGTTTTTTTTCTCCCCTGGTTGTGGGCTGACATTTTTGAGCTGTAGTTTTTTTTCAAGGCTGATTTTCTGACTAGGGTTGTCTCTTGGAAGTAGAGAAAGTAACTATGTTGCTGATGACCGAACCCAGGTTTTTCTTTTTTTTTTTTTTTTTTTTTTTTTAATGACTTGGTCTTATCAGTGTAGTTCAGACTTGACCTTGAACTATGTAGCTTGGGCTGAGTTTGAACTCTTGTCTTAGCCTCCCAGGTCCTGGGGTACAGGAGTATGCCATGCCTAGCCCTCATGCTTTTTAGTTTTATTTTGACATAGGTTTTGCTAAATTACCTGGGTTGGCCTTGAACTTGAAATCTTTGTGCCTTCTTAAGTATTTGGGATTAGAGGTGTCATCCACAGTTACTCACAATTAACTTTGCTGGGCTGGGGATTTAGCTCAGTGGCATAAGTGCTTGCCTGGCAAGCATGAGGTCATGATTTCAATCCCCAGTACCATAAGAAAAAAAATTATGCTAGGTGGTTAAAGCCTTTTGTGGTTGGGGGTATACTGAAGATGGAATCCAAGTACTGAGCTGTGTGAGCTATATTCCCTGTGTTTTGTTTGTTTTTTTGAAATAAGATTTTGCCCTGTAGTTTAGGCTGCCCTTGGATTCACTAGGTAGCCCAGACTGGCCTCAAGTTTGCAGTGATCCTTCTGCCTCAGCTTCCTGAGTGCTGGGATTACAGGTATGCACTGCTATACCTGGCTCCTCAGCCTTTTTTTAAAAAAAAGTGTCATGTTTGTTTTCCTTAATGCTAAAAATATGCCGTACCACTGAGCCAAACAATTGTTATATCTAGAAGTTGTCACTGGATTTTAAAAATGAGCTATGGAAAAAAATTGCCCAATGAAAAATCAAAATTGATGACTTCAGAGTTTCTAGAAAATCCAGACCTTTTGACTTGAAGGGACGTTATATTACTTAGAAATGCAGTTAACAAAAGAATTTAACAGTTACTTATTGGTCTTTATTGTCCTGTACTTGGTCTGAATGAAGCTATGTCAGGAAAAGTTGGCTTACCTTTAGGACATTAAGCAAGGACTGATACTGACTTAGGTTATTTCCTTTTGAGAACCAAGGTTAGAGAGGCAAAGCAAGTAGTAGAACACTTTGTCTTAATACAGTAGGGCATATGAAATGAAACCAAGTACTGTTTGCTTTCCTTTGTTTCAGATGGAGGAGATGTATAAGAAAGCTCATGCTGCTATACGAGAGAATCCAGTCTATAAAAAGAAGCCGAAGAGAGAAGTTAAAAAGAAGAGGTACGTATCTTTCTGTCTTGAGAATTTTAGTGTGGGTCTCACATGCCTTGTTCCATTTTGTGGATCAGGCTTTCAGTGAGGTTGTGCAAACTCGATCACTAGCTCTGCATGATGTGGCAGAAGCTAAGGGAACCAGGTTTGCTAAAGTAATTGTGGTGATAGGACTGTATTAGCCTCAGAAGCTACTGGGGTAGTTCGTTCTATCCTCATATAGTACAAGAATCAATGACTGCATTTTAAAATGGCTATATCTCAGTAATTAAAAAATAATATATGCACACTTAGCCATTGTACTATCATTTTTTTATGTTTACATTTTGGACCCTGTGATAATATGACAAAGTGCTTGGGAAAGTTAGCTTAAGAAAATGTATTAGAACTGAGATTAACCTCCATCTGATAGTCTGTCATTTTCAGCTGAAGTTAATATTCTGTATCCTTTTTAGCTATGGTTTTAAAAAAATATATTCTTGTTTTATAGGTGGAACCGTCCCAAAATGTCACTTGCCCAGAAGAAAGATCGGGTAGCTCAAAAGAAAGCAAGCTTCCTCAGAGCTCAGGAACGGGCTGCGGAGAGTTAAAAATTTCTATCAAGACTTTTCAGATAAAGACCAATAAATTTATTCAGATAAAGACCAATAAATTAAGCTCTGTGTTAAGCTCTTATAACGAGAGTCTAGGAAATAAACTGAAGCAAAGGAGTTGACAGGTTTTCTTTTCTCCAAGAAAAAGGTGTAATTTTTTCCAGAAAAAAACATCTTGTTGATGCCAGCAAAGTTCATACCTATTTCTTGGGCTTCTGTTCTCTTTATTATCCCTCAGATTCTAAGTTTGACAAGCACAACAACAGACCAACAGTGATCACTATAAGTATTTCTTCTGTCCATTTGTTAACAACAGATCATTAGAGGGAAGAAAACATCTCAAAGTATACAATCTTAAAGGAAATAAAACTGCCTTTAAATTTTTGAGAGCAAATGAAGATCACAGATTTAATACATTCATGTTAACTAAGATAAACCTGTAAACAGAAAGTATGCTGTTGTCTTCAGTTTGAAGAGGAGGTGTTGAATTTTATGGAGCTGTTAAGGGTACATGCCAGATCTGACTGAAAATACATGGGAAAGGATCAAAAGTTAAGTTTTCCATATCGGGTTTATGTGGGAAAAAATAATTGGATAAATTTACAGATGTCTTAAACAGCTCTTTAGTCCACAGCAAACACTGAAAATGGGAAATTAAAGGTCTGTTTTAATCTTGATCTTAATCACACTTTCCCCGTAGCTCAAATGCAGGGTAAATGAATTTTTGGTTATGTGGTCTTAAGATGTCAGGGTTTTTTTTTTTTTTTTTTTTGTAATTGTCAGTTTCGCAGGGCTGGGCTCAAACCCAGGACCTTAAGCATCTACCACTGAGCTACATTCCAAGCCCAAGGGGTTGGGGATTTAGCTCAGGGGCATAAGCACCTGCCTTGCAAGCAGGCAGTCATGAGTTCAATCCCTGGTTCCGATAAAAATAAAAGACAAAAAAACCAAGCCCAAGGGTTTTTTAGGAGCTTGGTAGTAGCCTTAGGCTAAGTGGACTCATCCAACTTTTTTTTTGAGGCAGGTTTATGTTAGGCAGTTGAGGCTGTTATTAAAACCCTAGCCTAGGTTGGCCTTGAATGTGATCCTCCTGTCTCTTGAGTGTTGCCAATTACAGGCATGTACCACCATGCCCAGTCCCATGCAATCTAGGCTGGTGAAAACTTACCTAATTTCAGCCACTAAAATTGCTAATTGCATATTGTCAGGTAAAAAACGGAATGTTTCTCAGCAGTGAATGAGGTTAAGTGTAAGTAGTATTATAAACCATGCTATTAACCCAACATCTATTTTATAAAGGAGCAATTTTAATTAACCTGCTTTGCAGTCTCATTAATGTGCAAATGTTACCATGCTAAGACATTAGTAAGTTTGTATAAACTTTAAACAGCAGCTTCAATGCAAACAATGTTTCCAGCAATGGTAGTTTGGGTAATACAAATCTACAAAACACTCACTGTTGATGAGACTTTTCACAGCTTTTTTTTTTAAGTCACTAGTCAAAATAGTTACAGAGTGAATGGAATTGGCAAATGTAACAGGATTCTTAAAGTGGAATTGGCATACTGCAGTGTCTCTAGTCCCAATGCACAGGCAAGGCAAAATCACTGGTATCTAGGAGTCTGTTCCAACCTGGGCAACAGAGCAAGACCCCATCTCAAAAAACAAAAAGGAGTGAAATCTTGATATGGTGATGTGTATTGCCTGCTGTTACTTCCACAATCGTGTTTAAAATGGCTTAACGCCCCAGGAGAAAATCTGAATCAAGCCATTCTTTTAAATGCTCAAAATGGATATTCAAAAGTGGTAAGTATCCTACAATGGTAACTGTCCAAATTAAGAGTCATTTGTGTAGGAAATTTTCTTCCACAATAATGTTTTTAGGTTATTTAGTATTAAAGAGTGTTCCATTTCCATTTGGTTTGCTGTGACTTTGAGAGCAATACAAGAATAAAGCTGCTTTTCTAATTCTTCACGAATTTCACTTGGAGCACCACGCAACAGGTAGTCTTTGAGTAGCTGACAGGCTTTTGCCAAGTTTGGTTGTATTACTTCTGAAGTACATTTCATTGTATTCTGATCACAGCTAGTTCTACAATCCGTACCATAGACACAATCCAGGTCAGACTCACAGTGACGATCCTTGATAAGTTCTTTCAGGTTTGTCTCTGGCACAATTTTTCTCATATCCACCATTTTCAAATCATACTTATCATTATATCCTAGGTTTTTGGCACTCGTATCACACATGAGAAAGTTTCCATAGGGGCCATGGAAGACATCTTCCACAAATTCTAGAAGTCCTATAGCTATTTTAGCCTTTCTAGGCCATGATGGTGTGAACAGCTGATCCATACTTCTTCTGAACCCAGATGGAATAAAAAGCTCAATGACCCATGGGAGGCTCACTCCATAAAGAGAGGTATATTCAACACTTTCTATCACATAAAGGTCACCGCAGAATCCCATTAGTTTGGGAGTATGTTCTTTATCTTGAAGTATCACCATGAGAAGAAATTCATTTAACTGGAGGAGTGCCCACGCTGACTTCGCTTCTCCTAAGGATACCTGGCCATCTTTGTCTCCGTCAGCAACCGTCAAGATGAGATTAACCAGTTGAGAGAGATTTCCTTGGTCACCCAATTTTGCCTGTCAAGACCAGAATCAGGCAGTTATAAAGAAGGAAGGAAGGGTGTTTCTTGTTAATATGCTAAATTGTCTGGGCAATTTTACCATGGTAGTAATTGTCCTGCTACTGAATCCCCATAAAGGAGTTTATAAATTACATCTCCAAAAGTGATGTTTTATAAGAAATTAGAATATTCTTTAGGTAACTGCAATAAATCTCTTTCCCTCCCCTTCTCTTTCTTTCTCTCCCTCTGCCTTCCTGTCTCTTTCTTTCCTTTTTAAATTTTTTTGCTTTACTTTTATTTATTTTAAAAAGAAAAAAAAGGATAGAAATGATACAGAATTTTCAAAAAAAAAAAAAAAAACCCAGGAAATTAACAGTAGTTAATATATTGCATTTGTTATTTTAGAAGTAGCTGTTGCGGCTGGGGATTTAGCTCAGTGGCATAAGCGCCTGCCTTGCAAGCAGGCAGTCATGAGTTCGATCCCTGGTACCAATAAAAAAAAAAAAAAAAAAAAAAAAAAAAAAAAAAAAAAAAAAAGAAGTAGCTGTTTCTTTCTGAGCCAGAGTCTCAGACTGGCTTTGAACTCTATTGCTGAGGCTGGTCTCAAACGTACAGTGATCCTCCTGTGTCAGCTTCCCAGATACTGTGATTATAGGTATATACCACTTTAAATGTGTCCTTCAGCCCTCTCAGATCCTTTGTATAGTACCAAGACACTGAGTAATTATTTTTTGTCTTATAATTTATTTCCAATTTGCATTTTAACTAAGGTTCATCAAAGCTGTAACAATGGTCAAGTGAAATTTATTTTGTATTTATCACACTAATGGAATTATTTTATTGTCCTAATAATGGAGGTTAAAAAGTTTCTCCTATTAAGGTTCTTTGGAAGAAAGTAGTCTGAAATGCATATAAAACAGCCAAAGAAAGCTTTTGAGTGAAAATAAAACAGCAAAGCAAATTCTTTTCAACATTTGTCATCATTTTCATTTATTTAGTCTTCATATGAATATTTCATACGAATAAATAATTTGCAATCCATACACTAATTTTATTTTTCTCCCTGTTTGCTCAGGCTGACCTCAAACTCTTGGGCTCAAGCAATACCTTCCTCCTAAATAGCTAGAATTACAGGCATGTACCACCACACCTAGGTATAGAGCAGTAATTTGACTTCGGCTTTTTTGCATTAGTTTTAACATCAAAATGTACATCAATCTAACTAGATAATGAACTCCCCCTCATATCTGGACATTGTTAGCTATTACAAATAATGCTAAAGTCAATCACCAATGTGTATTTTTTCTTTGAATTTCCTCAGGAAGGAGTCAAAATACTAAAATGTCAATAATTTAGGAAAGGATCCTGCTGGTTTGTCTTGAAGGAAACTACCTTATACTAGCAACATGTGAATAGATACACTTACCTTAAAGAGACTGTAGACCATTTCTTTGAACTTCTGTACCGTGGTTCCCCTGGTTGGCTTATCAAATAGCACTATTTCTTTTCTTGGCTCAAATTCAGTTCCAAAATCAAAATGGAGTGCTTGTTCCATTTGACATTTCACAACACCTGGTAGATTATCCCAAATCCCTAAATACATCTTTGTGAAAAAGAACAAGAAGTTATGTATTATACTGAGTAGAAGATTTAAACAGTATACCACTACAAACTGGGTATGATGGTGCATGACTGTAACCCCAAAACTCAGAGACTGAGGCAAAAACTGCAAGTCCAAGCCCAGCCTTGGCAATTTAGCAACTTAGTGAGACTTTGTCTCAATGCAAAATAAAGAAGGGGTGGAGATGTACCTCAGTAGGAAGGCCTTGGCTTCAATCCCCAGTTAAATCCCACTGTATTTCCCCCAAAATAAAACCTAAGTGGAAAATAAGCCCTAGCATGACTTTTCTGGATCTTCATAATATAAAGTCTACCCTTAAAATAAGCCCCAGTTATGACTGCAGCTAGACACATATATTTAATCAATACATGATGTATTGAACTATAAAATAATAATTAAACATAAATATTGGACATTAATTTAAAATGCTAGTATAAATTATAATTTGTAAATGTCCAAGGGGGTATCTTTGGATAAGAGGTAAACAACTATGTATGCAGATACCTTGAGACTTGTTGAATGACCAGCTGCAGTACAGACAATGCATGAATAATATGGACACTGCTAATGAGTGGACATGGTTGTACCTAATATGAATCTTCATAATTCAGTATATTGTATGTTGTGGCAGTGCACTACAAGCAGGCCATGTAGACAAAAACACTTATTTAAAGATAGCTTTATTGCTAGACATGAGAGATTGGGATCAGTGGTTCTACAGGAAATGGAGCTGCAAAAAATTCAGTCTGAAATTTGGGGTTTGGAGAGTTGTGACTATGTTCCAGATGATGACATGACTGTATCTGAATAAATGTGGATTTTTATGCATGAATAAATGAGTGTAGATTTTTGTACATGAAAAAGTAAGATATCCCCTGAAAATAAGCTCTATCACATCTTTTGAAGCAAAATAAAACCTAGTCTCATTGTCAGGGAATACTATTTATCTATCTACTTATCTATCTACTCCCTTCTATCTACATTTGTAGGGTGTTCTGTAAAATACAAACAAGCATCAAAGCACTGAGGTTGAGCTGTAATTTGACTTTTGAACAGCAAATATAAAGTACTTCAAATATTTTTTTTCTTCAAATGAATTTTTTTTTTTTTTGCATTTTTACTGGTACCAGGGATCGAACTCACGACCACAGGCTTGTAAGGCAGGTGCTTATGCCACTGAGCTAAATCCCCAGCCCCTCAAATGAATTTTTAATTATGAAAGTAGTGCAAGCCTCTCTCTCTCTCTCTCTCTCTATATATATATATATATATATATATATATATACACACACACACACATTATACATGACATATTGAATTATGAAGATTCATACTAGTAAAAGCCTATATATTTATTTATTTATTTGGTACCAGAGAGTGAACTCACAATCTTGCGCATGCCAAGTAGGCACTGAGCTAAATCCCCAACCCCATAAATATATTTAATAGTTAAAAATAGATAATAGGATGTAAAAAGTTCTTCCACATTTCATTTCTCTCATCCTATACTCCAGAATCAATCTCCATTAAGTATCTAGCTATTTACCAACTGAACATTGTATAGTGCTTACAACACCTTACATTTTATGCAGGATTGGAGTCCCTGCAAGCAGCACTTGACAGGGCAATGTATGGAATTGTGATGAAGTGAGAGCTTCAGTGGAAAGAAGAAGACTGGGTGCTAGGCACACGGAATGTGTCAAGGGAAGTTGCAGGGAGCATGGCCACATGGGCTGCAACCAGCAGGTCAAGGGAGAGGCTTCCTGAGGCCTTGGAGCCCATATGACCTAGAACAATGTGCTATGAATGCTGGATAAGCAGCTGTAGGATTTAATGTTTGCATGGCTGATTTCAGTCTTGCTTTTGTCCAGTTCCTTTTTTCAGGACCCCTATTCTTCTCTTTCTCCTTTCTTGAATGGGAGTGTTGTTGCTCCGCCCCCCCCCAACTCCACTTTATTCAAGAATAAAAAGAAGAAAAGGGGGCTGGGGATTTAGCTCAGTGGCATAAGTGCCTGCCTGGCAAGTTCAAGGTCCTGAGTTTGATCCCTGGTACCAAAAAAAAAAAAAAAAAAAAAAAAAAAAAAAAAAAAAAGAAGAAGAAGAAGAAGAAAAGGAGGAGGAGGAGGAGGAGAAGAAGGAAACTACAACAAAATTTCAAAACATGTCAATCAGGGGGCAACAATGGTACACTGTCATCCCCAAGTTATTCACCTAGAGCACAAGACATCTGCATTCAATTATCTGAACAGTACCAGCACTAATCTTTCTTGTCAGTGAACTAAAAAAATTAGTAGTTTAACTATCTTAACGATTTTTTATATACATATACATACACGTTTTTTTCTTTCAGTTTTCACTAATAAAACAACATGATGTATATACATGTGTCTTATTTCACTAATGAGTATGTTCTCAAATTGCATCTATTTATCTATAGAAGTGTCCTGTTCTTGATGGCTGAATAGTACTCCATGTCTAAAAATACTGTATTTTTAAAATCTTCTCCTCAGGGCTGGGGATTTAGCTCAGTGGCATAAGTGCCTGCCTTGCAAGTACGTGGTCTTAAGTTCGTTCCCTGTACTGATAAAAAAAAGACTAAGAGCTCCTGGTATTAACCACTTATTGTAGTGGTTGTCTTTCTTCTGTATAGAAAATGAACAGGATCTGGGCATGGTGTAATCCCAGCTACTTGGAAGACTGATTCAGGAGGCCTGCAAATTTGAAACCAACCTGAACAACTTAGTGAGCTTATGACTCAAAAAATAAAAACAGCTGGGTGTAACTCCGTGGCAGAGTATGTGCTAGCATGTGCTAATGGCCTGGGTTCAATTTCTAGCACCTAAAAAATGGTCATATTAATAATAATAATATAAACAAAGATTACATCACTCCTCATCACCAAAGCTTCCAATAAATTTTCAATGTAATTATAGTAAAACCCATAGTCCTTCCCATAGCCTGTTGAGCTGGCCTGGTCTACCTCTCTAACTTGATCTTGTACCACTTTCTCCCTGGTTCTCTATGCCTCAGGTACTCTGATCTTTCTGTTTTTGGGAGCTTACCAAGCTTTCTTCTGCTTCATGATCTGCTGCCTTTGCTACCGGTTCTTCTTGGAATGTACTCTCCTTGATCTTTCCACATCACTCAAACGTCATCTTAGAAAGGCCTTTCCTGGTCACCCTATCTACAATAGGTTCTTCTAAGTCATTTTGTTCATTTTCCTCATAGCCATTGGTACTGTCTGACATTATCTTACGTATTTTCCACTCACTTATTATATATCTTCTCTCACATTAGAACATAAAGCATAGCTGGCACAGTGGTGCATGCTGGTAATCCCAGCACTGTGGGAGGTGAAGGCAGGGGAATTTTAAGCCTGAGCCCAACCTGGGCAAATAAGTGACAGCTTGATTCAAAATAAAAAATAAGAAGGGTTGGGGGTGTATTTCAGTGTTTGAATGCTTCTGGATTCAATTCCCCCTACTGAGGAAAAAAAAATTTCCATTTCCCAAGGATGTTCGGTTATATTTTCTTCTACTTCAAGGGTTATTTTATTGTTTTTATTTATACTACTTTGATGATAAGTGAGATACAGCTTTTTAAATTATGTTTATTAGTCATTTGTGGAGGTTTTTTTTTTTTTTTTTTTTTTGCTTTTGATCATCCTGCTTATGGTTTAATTCTATTGAGGTCTGTGATCTCTGTGATGTGAGGTTTTAAAGGTGTTCCCTGACTTCTCTAAAGCACACTGATACTATCCCACTCCTTGCATCTTCTATCAGTTCACCCTGTGGATCTCCTACATAGAACACGGCATAGTTTATATTGTTTACTTATTGTTTATCTATCAACCATTTGTATCTACAGCCTATCCATTGACCATTGGGATAATGTAAAGTTCTTAGAGAAGTAATTTTGTCTGTCTTAATCATCACTGTATTTCTAATAATTAAAACAAAGATCACTGTTATTTCTAATAATTAAAACAAAGTCTGAAATATACTGAAACTAGAGAATTACTAAATATCTTTTGCATGAATGAATCAAAGCATTCAAACTTGAAATACATATAATGTCCTAGGTTTATTGTTTGAGAATTATTTTAATAAAGCTTTTAGCTTAAGGTAAAATTAGAGCTCACTGAAATTCTTTCATATTCATTTTCAGTGTCCATACCTGATTGTTGGGCTTGGTGGATAAGCATTTTCCAAAGTAAAGAGTTTCTGTAACACAAAGGCTATTACATGCTGGCCCATCAATAACTCCAGTCTTGTACTTGTCACACTAAAAACCAAGACACATAAAGAAGTAGTTAATAAAAACTGTTCATAAGAAGAAACATCTGGTAAAGACAAAATTCTCTCATAAAGAACTTAGGCTTTGAATTTACACAAATCTAGATTTGAATCCAAGCTCTGATTCTAACTTGTTATATGATAAGGTTCACTGCTCCTGGATGTGTACAGTATTCTGGAACAATTTTCTCCATTTAACATGGTCTTTACTTTCTCTAAGAATAGAAGGCATACTTTTTTTTTTTCCCTTTGTATTTTTGTAGCCTAAAACCAAGGCTTTTGCATAGAGGTATAATCCCAGTCCTTTTTTTTTAAATTTTAAGAGTGTCTTGCTAAGTTGCTAAATTGCCAGGAAAAGGTTTGAATTTGTCAACCTTCTGTCTCAGCCTGGGATTATAAACCATGCTGGGGTTACAGGTGGGCCCTACAACACCCAGGTGAGGCACTCTTTAAATCAAAAATGACTCTGACTTTAAAATGAATTTAAATGTTTAAAATAACACAATAACTTAAAACAACACAACAAAGTTACATCTGCTATTTTTTATCCTTGAGATCAAACAAAAGCAAGAAAAAGAAAAAATGAATGTAAATTCTTTGATAAATATCATTACCATAGGCACAATAAATAAGGATTATTTACTAAATTCAATAAAGATTACTCCAGAATCCAGAAGGAGGCTGAGAGGAAGTACCTGCCATGGCCTCAGTTCTTAAAGTTAGCAAGGCACCAAGCAAGAGAGAATCTGAAGGATAAAACCATCACTGTGGTTTACAGTGAAGGCTTCAGGGGCACAAGCTATGGGACTTCCCAAGACTTTACATGACATCATGAAACAGTCAGACAAGGCAGGCTGACTGGTAAGTAGTAATGATAAAATCCTTTAAAGTGTTATATTTGTTGGGAGCAATTTATTGACAAACTAGAGTTAGAAAACTATGTTATGAGCAGTACTGTAAGTGCTGTACCAGAAAGAACCTAAGCTGATCCTGCATGTCTCTGTCTACCTCACCTTTTCCTTCTTTCTCACATAACACAGACACAGACGCAGACACAGAATCTCTCAGAATCACAGGCAGCTTCACTAGTACTAGTTGCTTCATGCAAAAGTGCAAATGGGCAGCTGAGGAAGCCTCTTTTTACACAGGAATGAGTAATAGGTTTTGTGTAGTGAGTAATGGGTTTTGTGGCAGACACCTGTAATCCCAGCAATTGGGAAGCTGAGGCAGGCTGAGTTCGAGGCCAGCCTGGGCTACATACTAAGAAAAGCCAGCCTGAACTGCATAGTAAGGCTCTATCTCAAAAAGCAAATCCGAAATGAACAAAAAACAACACAAGAATGAGTACTAATCAAAAGAATACAAGCAAGAAATCTGTAGAGTGTATCTATGATATTTAGGAAAGCTGAGGACAGTCACACCAGTCTATAATCCTAGCTACTCAGCAGGGTGAGTTAGAAGGATGGTAATTTCAAGGCCAACCTGGGCAACTTAGTGAGACTCTGACTCACTAACTTTTTTTTTTCTGAGACAGAGTCTTGTACGCAGTTGAGCTGGCCCTAAACTTCTGGTGGTCCTCCTGCCTCAGTCTGCTGAGTGCTGCAATTACAGGCCTACACCATTACGCTCAGGCTTCAAAATTTAAAAATAAAGTAGAAAGATCTGGAAATGTTGCTTAGGGCCCCTGTGGTTCCATCTCCCATACTGAAGAGGAAAGGAGGGAGGGAGAAGAAGGAAGGAAAAAGTGTAAGGAATGCAATAAAAAGTGCAAATGTTAAAGAAATTTTCCAAAAAAAAAAAAATTTTGACATGAGGCAGACTTAACATATTGTATGAATAAAAAGAAATTCACTGAAACAGTTTAAAATAAGCCCTCAAGGCAGAAGAAATGTTGAGGCAACAGAAGGAAATGTAAAACAAGCTAACAGAATTCAGAAAGGAAGAGAAAGAGAAAAATCTTTAAATAAAAGTGACATTGTAAATGGTGATGGAAAGGAAGAGAAAAAAGGATAAAAATATAGTGGGGCTATATTGAGGAGAGTGAGCAAAATAAAATGAAAATTTAAAAAAACTGAAATTGAGATAAATTTATAGACACAGAAGACAAAAGATATCCAGTATGTCCACATAAAGGAGAACAGGAGTAAGTGGTAAAGAAAAAAATATTCAAAGTAGAATTCAAGGACACTTCATTTACAAATGAAAAAATACTTGAATCTACAAGGTAGAAAGGTCATTCATCAAGATGCAAGAATAGGCCCATACATATCAACATAAAAAAATCTTAATGTTAAGAGGAAACAGTTGCAGAACAATGTGTGGTTAGCATCATTTCTTAAAACATAGAAATATGCAAAGCAATACTACTGTACTTATTATGTATAAGAGGTGGTAAAATATTTAAATTAAAACAATTATTACAATAAAAGACACATTTCTTAGACTGAAAGGATGTGTTTGAGGGGGAATAATGGCAACATATCTTTCACTGTAACACTTTTCCATGTTTTTGAGACAGGGTCTCAGTATGTAGTTCAGACTGGCCTTGAACTCATTATGTAGCCCAGGCTGGCTTCAAACTTGTGGTGGGTGATCTTCCTAGTGGGATTACAGCCATGTGCCACCATGTTGGCTGTCATACTTTTTTTTTTTTTTTTTTTTGCAGTACCAGGGATTGCATAATTTTTTTTTGTTTAAACATTCATGCATTTATTGATCACCATTCACTGACCAACTGTTTATGGAAATTTCTGTTAAATCAAAACATCATGTTATTCACCAGATCTGGTACCATGCAACTTCTTCCCCAAAGTTAAAGCAACCATGAAAGGTGAGTATTTTGAATTGCTTCGGGACACTGAAGGAGCTACATTTTGCAACTAAAGCCTACTCATGAAAAAGTAAGTGAGTTTGAGGGAAGTATTTTTGAGGGAGATCAATGGCAATATGTAACTCTCTATAATAATTAAAAAATAAACATTCATATTTTTATCATACCAGGTACATGCAGAAAAACTATGCAAACAATGATGTCAAGAATTCATACCAAATTCAAGAGGGTAATTACTCTAGAGAAGATTATAGAGAGAGGATTACAGAGAACTTTAACTCTAATTGTAATATTTTCTTTTGAAAAATGAAGCAAATATGGCAAAAGATTATGACTTGCTAAGAAGGTGGTAGGCACACAGGTATTTGTCAAATTTTTTCTGTATGCCAACATCATCCTATGAGCATGGCAGGTACATCACTTTATTTATTTTGTTTTGGTACCGGGGACTGAACTGACGACCTTGTGCTTGGCAGACAGGTGCTTACACAACTAAGCTAAATCCCCAGCCCCACATGTCCCCATGGGATGGGCATTACCATTATCTCCATTTCACTGATGAGGATACTGAGGTGAGGGAGGTTAAGAGACCTGCAGAGCAGGTTAGTGGTGTTGGAGTTTGAGACAAGGCCTTCTACCTCCAAGCCTGTGCCTGTAGGTAAAATAACTAGAACTATTTTTGTTTGGGAAAGAAACTAACAGATCAAGTTTATTACTGACTGGGCCAAATGCCCCTCCTCACAATTCTCAAGAAACATCTTGAGTCACACTCGTTCCGTCCACACAAGCAAATCAAAGCAGGACCAAGACTGTGCTTTTGTTTCCTTGGGGCTTTGCACAATTCCCAGCACATAATCAAACACAGGTGAAGAGCACCTGCCAGTGTGGTGAGTAAAGTGTACATGGAGCTTTATTCAGAAGAAGTAGTAATTCTATTATGAACAGCTTCTGGGATAGGACTCAAAGAGCTATCACAGTCATGAGTTCGATCCCCAGTACCAAAAAATAAATAAATAAATAAGGATTTGAACATGGCCCTCTGTGAACACCCATCTTTCAAATGAATGACCTTGAGGCTGTATATTTCTTTTCTGGCCCTATATTCTTCACCTCTTCTTTATATATACAGCATTCCCCAATTTTTTAAATCCATTTTATTTCAAGAAGAAAAACTAAAAACAAAAACAAAAAATAGAAGAAAAAAATTAAAAATAAATTTTAAGACATTTCAATTGGGGGTAACAATGGTACATACACTGCACACTGTCATCTCCAAATCATTCACCCAGAGCACAAGACATCTATATTCAATTGTCTGAACAATACCAGCACAAATCTTTCTCTTCAGTGAACTCAGAGGAATCAGTAATATAACTATCTTAACTAGTTTGTATACACACATTATAATACACACATATGTGTTACGTTGTATCATTTGGCTTCTTATACTACTGAGCCAATAGGATGTTTACACCTGTGTGTCTTATTTATTTCACTAATAAGTATGGCCTCAAGCTGCATATATTTACCTATAAAAGTCTCTATTTTATTCTTAAGGTTGAGTAGTACTCCATTGTACAAAAATATCACTTTTTAAAAAATCAATTCCTCAGTTGATGGGCATTTAGGTTATTTCCAAGATCTGGCCACTACAAACTGTGCTTCTATAAATACAGGTGCACATATATTTTTGTGGTATGACATTTTTAATTCTTTTGGGAAGATACCCAGAAGGGGACTAGCTGAGTTGAATGCGACCTCCAGTCCTAGTTTTTATAGGACTCTTCACACTGATTTCCACAGTAGTTGTACCAGTTTGCATTTCACAGCGGTTGCACCAGTCTCCACCAACAATGGAGAAGGGTTCCTTTATCCCCACAGTCCTTCCAGCATTTGTTACTGGTTGATTTCTTGATAGTATCCATTCTTTCTGGGATGAGGTAATTTGCATCTCTTGAATGAACAGCGATGGTGAACATTTTTTCACATATTAATTTGTTGTCTTTCTTCATCTGATAAGTATGTACTCATCTCAGATGCCTATTTTGGGGTTGCATCTTTAAATCTAGGAGGACTGATTTTTTTTTTTGTCCTTTTGAGAAAAGGTCTCACTATGCAGTTTAGACTGGCTTTGAGCTCACTTTGTAGCCCAAGCTGGT